GACTCCCATAACAATAAAACGAAACAAAGTGAAGGAAAATTGAAAAACACGATATCATACCGAATACTGCGCTAAAGGTAAATAACAAAGCCAAGATTCTCAAATAAAGTTTTCGCAAATACATAAGTCGAGAGAAGCCATCAGAAAGTGGCGAATTCATCTTAAAAAAATGTTAACAAATTGGGGCGCTATCCCCTCCTTTTAATGGCGTCAAGTAATAATGACTTATTCCTATAGAGGATAAGACTGACGAAATCCTAATGAAATATTGAAGTAAAAAATTACCAATTTACTTTATCACCAAATATTAGAAAAGCAATTCAAATTCCGAGGCCGCAACACGTTTTAATAAAATGGTACAAACGGCAAATAAAAAAAACGATAGTTATTTACGTAAGCTTACAAATGAATCTCAATGTCGACTGTTCAGCAACGGTTTTGTTGCTTTGGAAAAAATCAAAGATCTATATAACGTGCAAACAAAGTCATCTTACTTTTATTAGTGCATCAAAATCTTGAACTACTACAAAAACATCTACGATACTTTTACAATGCTGATTTGCCAGTAACAAGTAAAAAGAAAAAACTTACCAATTCCTGACATCCCGAACGAAAATAAAGTTCCCCAAAACCGAGAACACGACTGCATCTAATTGTTCATTCATTTTTTCCAGCACTTTGTAAATCTCGCTCATTCCGGTGGTGCATACTAGGTTAACAGAAATTTGAGTTAGTTCTCATATTTCTAAACATGCATCAGTGCAGAACCACTTTAACTACACAAACTCTTAAAAAAGCTTCGAACAAATCAAACCAATAATAAAAACAAAACGACTCAAGAAAAGCGGATACGACTACGATTACAAGTATAAAACAACTCCCATAGTTGATCTGTCAGCTTTTTCATGTTCAACTGTGCTTCTTTTTGCCTCAAAATTGAGACTGGACACCAGAATAAAAAAGCAAGATTAACTGCTACCACAGAAACATCTAGTTCAAACCAATCACTTTTCTAAAACCCATCGATCGGTGCCTTTAGCTGTTCAAATTTACTGAAAAAACCAGTAATGGGGTTGAAGAGTTCGTTGTACTTCCGCCTTCATACAATTGCAGCAGAAAAATTATAAGACGCAGTACTACTTAGTCTCATTCACAATAAAATTTTCTGCGTTAAGTCAGCGGTTTCACTTGTTGTCGGTGTTGTGTATTATCGTGTTGAAGATTTGTTAGGAAGTAAAGATGAGAAAGAGTCGATGGAGGAATTTAATTGGGTAGACAGACGGTTATTGGAAAAGTCTAAAATCAATTTATAAAGTGATCAGATCTCTTCAAAAGAAAAACACCGTCATTTTACTGTTTAAGTTCAGAAAACTTTCCTGTATTCTTCCCAAAAACTTAATGTAGTATTATTATTTAAAACCAATAAAAAATATTTGGTTTTAAGAACAGTTCGCATTCAGAACCATGTATAGTGACGGTCACTCCTTCACACAGCAGTTTTAAATGCTCTAAATATGGCTCTTCGAATACTAATGCGAGTTCCATGGAAAACCGTATCATTCGTTAAGCAGCGGTTGCCGTTTATCTGTTTTTCAGTAAATCTTCGAATGGTACCCTCAAATTTATGTTCTCTAAGTAAAGCTTCGTTTGCCCTTTGACTTGTTATTTTCGTGTTAGTTATCTATGACCGGAGAAAGAAGCACAAGGCTTTACGCAGTGGTCCGTCGATCACCTCAAAAAAGTGGGCTGTCACAATTTACCAGTTTATAGTTCTCAGGCGCTTTAGTTCTTCTTTCTCTGTGTATTCCGCTGTGTTTACATTTCTTGAAGCCGGATCGGCAGAACTGGAATCAGTGAAATTAGACTTTATGGTTTTTACTTACAAAACTCGTTTGTTTTTGAAGCTAGTGGAAATTTAACAATCATATTCAAAACAGGGTTTTTTTTCTATTGAAAAAAGAGTCGGCTAAAACGAACAGCTGACTCGTTCTTCAGCAGCATTGATTTTTGCATGGCGAATCAAGTGCCACCGCTTGCTGAAAGTCTGCATAGTTGCTAAGTCTCCCCTCCGCATCACTAGCGGCTGACTTTTAGCTGTCAGTGTTCCACTTGCAAGTGGTTTTCTTGAGGTGACTAAGTCCATAGATCGATAGCGGTATAAAGTGTAACGGAGAAGGTGTATGTAAAGGAGGAAAAAGAAGAAACAGTTATTATTATAGAACGTATGTTTTAAGGTACTGTTTGAAGGCGAAAGCAAAATTTGCCAAATTTCTAACATTCTTTCTGCCTATTTAAAAACATCGAAGGAATACCATAGTTAAAAGTATTAAAGAACGTTTCTTTACAACACTAATTTTTATGAGCCCAATAACTGCTGTTTCTCCTGGCGTAGTTATTAAAAACTTCTGAGGGTTGTTGGTTGGGCAATACCGCCTGAAAATTCCAAAAGGAAATTTCGTTTTGAAACTTTGATGAAATTAGTATTTAGTCCTTTATTGCTCTCCTGATTAAATAGTTTGAGATCCTCCTAAACGAGCCCAGATTTCTAGAGCGACATTAAATCATTAGTAAAAATAGAAGCAGCGCTTTCCATGATTGTACTGTGAGAGTGGTTTTCCTTTCTTATTGTTGTTATTTGCCAAAATAAAATATTTTGTCAGCATCATTATTCCTAAGTAAATTTTTCAGTTCTTTTTTCTTGTATTTCTTGATACTCTTGCAGGTCCCAACCGTGTTTTTTTCTTATGAAGTTGGTCACTAGCTTTGGTATGCGACTGTGACTGAATTTTGAGCAGGAACGATATTTGTTCGGAATAACACTTGTCTGCTTATTTTTATTTCCTTTGTTATTTAAATATTATATTTGTTTAGGTCTGTGCAATGAAATGACAGTTACATACGGAGACGAGCACAGCTTTTCAGGGAGCTTTGGCCCGATGTATCACTATCAGTATCGTTTGATTTTGATTGGTGATTCAACAGTTGGGAAGTCAAGCCTCTTGAAGTATTTTACGGAGGGAAAGACAGCGGAAATCAGTGATCCAACTGTAGGTGTTGATTTTTATACCCGCATGGTTGAAATACGGCCTGACCTTCGCGTCAAACTACAGTTATGGGATACTGCCGGGCAGGAAAAGTTTCGGTAAGTATTTCCAGCAGCCAGCAAGAACAGGTGGTCTGATTCCTTCCCGTGTTTTATTATAGCTCTAAGCAAATCAAAAGTGTAGTTCCACTGGTTTTCGGTCTTTATTTTTTTATTATTAAATGTCCATACTGTCTATCAGAGGTCTTCTTGGTAAGTTTTCAGTCCTAGCAGTTGTGGTTTCTTGAACATTTTTGTAACTTATGATGTCGTTGTAGAGATAACAGATATATTTAAGATATATCTGAGCATTATGATTGATGCTGTTTATTCATGATGTTAAATTAATTTCTGTGATTAGCAGTGTTAATAGCTTTTAAGAACTGGTGGATCAGTTTATTTGTTTTTGAAGTATTGAAGTTGAACATTAGGTTAACTCTTTGGATGAGGTTAGACAGTTGCACTGGTTTTATAGCGTTAAATTTTGTCTCGCTTTGGAAAAAAACCCCACCCTGCAGCTTCCTTCCTTCTTTATTAACCGAGATGTCAATTTCTTCAAGTACCTTCAACTTTTCAACGTTTATAAACCCTGCATAACGGACTACATTTTATTTTATTAGGGGCAAAATGTTGCCTTGTTAATGTGCACTCTATTTTACATTTGTGACTGTGAAAGTAACTTGACGTAACCCTTTAAAGCTTCTTTTAAATCATTTCTGATTAAAACAGCAGTTGCTGCTTCTGACAGATTCACGCTTTTCGTGTTTAGGACATATTTCTTTATAAAGAACTGTCGTTTTTGTTCTAATCTGTTTCTTTTTCACGCACATCTATTTATCTATTTCTCTATTCTTTGTTTAAACCACTTATACATTTCATTCTAAATTATTTCATCAGAACACAGTTTGCTTCACGCTCGGTAGAATGTTCTGAATAGTCGTTTGAAGCTTGTTTTTTATAGCTCTCCGGTCCGTTACAGAGTGTTGATTGACCTTGCCTGCTCCTTCGTTTTTTTGACTGTAAAGTCTACAGAAATTTTGTGCGACTGTTTTTTTAAAAAAAATTGTCTTCTCTACCATTTTATAGGACTTTCCTCAAGTATTTTGTTGTACCGCCCGTATTTTTTTTT